CAGGGATGGAGACAGGAATGGCACTGGGATGTGTGCAGAGAGGGATGGCAGAGAGGGATGGCAGGGAGAGATGGCAGGGAGGGATGGCAGGGACAGACAGGGGTGAAGGCTGGCAGGGACAGACAGGGGTGAAGGCTGGCAGGGAACATTGCCATCTTGTGGAAAGCACCTCGGGGAGCTGAGGATGAGGACAAGCCATGCTCAGAGCACAGGCTCTGCTCCAAGGCCCCACAAAACCTGGGACAGCTCTGGATCACCAAGAACTCCCCCATCCCAACCCCACTGTCCAACAGCCCCTGCTCCACTCTGGCTGGCAACAGATGGCAAACTCAGACACTTCCCCTAACCCCAGCTCCTAGAGATGTGAGGCCTCTGTTCCTCCCCAGCAATTCCCCAAAACACAAATTAAAATTAAAATGAAAATATAAATGGCTCTCCCMTTCTTTTGAGGACCATTAAAATGAAAACATAAATGGCTCTCCTCTCCTTTTAAGGACCATTTGAGTTTACTTTCAGCCTAAATGACTTTTTCCCACTCTGTGCACGTTCAGAGCAGCACCCCGACGTGGCTGCCCCCGTACCTGGATGACAGTGGGCAGAACCAGCTCTGGGAAGCCAATGCTGTGGGCTTGGCCGTGGAGATATTCCAGCAGCAGGTCATAGAGCTGGTCAATGAGTCCATCCTGAGCAGGAGAAACACAAATCCAGACATTGGGTACGACCCAAACCCCRCACATTTCCTACAGCAACCAAACCCTCCACATTCCCCAAACTGGGAAAGGTGTCCCCAGCCTTTGGGGACAGGGACACAGATCACATTCCTGGTGTTCTGAGGGTCACAGAGAACGCAGGCACTGCTGGGGCTGAGGTCCCACTTACCCTGAAAGCCTTTTCCTGCAGGTTGGCATTGGACAGCTTCAGGATCACGGCGAAGTTGATGGGTTTGGAACTCATCCGTCCCGGCTTCTTGTTGAAATCCACTTGTTGGAAAACCTGGCAGAGAAAAAAAAAAAACCTGAGCGTGAAGGTGATCACAGCACAGAGCAAGGACTCAGCTGAGAACAGAATCCCTGTCCTGATCACTTCCCAAAATATCCCCCAGGGATGGAGGGAGCAAACAACAACCACCCCTGAGGCTGCACAGAGCTGGGGGGTGAAGAGGGAACCAACACAAACAACAGCACAAGAAACTGAGGTTTATTCCTCATTTTTAATGGTCAGAGAGMTCCCTCAAAGCTGGAATGGATTTTGGAGCTGTCCCTGAAGGTGGGAAGGTTTTTTTTTTTAACAGCAAGGCTGAATGATGCTTGCACAGAATCCACCACCCTGCTACTGGCAGTGAAATAACTGTGCCAGGAGGGCTGCTCACACCCTGGGGAGAGGCAGATTCCCAGAGATCCCCTCCAGAGGATCCCATGGCAATCAGGAGTTATCAAAAAAAAAAAAAAATTAAAAAAAAAACAAAAATTAAAAAAAAAAAAAAAAAAAAAAGCTGCAATTGGTAATATTTGCACATCTGATGGCACCCACAGGGGTGAGGAGCACGGCCTGCCCACCCACCCTCGGGAGCACCCCAAAAGCAGCCCCAGCTCCTCTCTCCCCGAGCCCAAATGCTTGGAAATCGCTCTCCTGAGCAGGAAATCGTTTGAGTTCCCTCGGTGCAGCAGCAGCAGCAGCAGCACATCCATCATTCCCAGCAGGGTGGGGATGCTGCAGGGGAGGGAGGGATGGAKGGATGGAGGCTGTGGGGTCACGGCTGTGCCCCCAGGCCACGGCAGCACCGACACCAGCATCGATTGCTCACATTGCATTGTCAATGCAGCTCTCTGGGACTGAGGGATCAGCGCTGGGGCTTTGCAAACAAAGAGCTCTGGGTTGGGGGATCGATGCTATAAAGCTTGTTATGCACAGTTATTCCTTGGGCCCAAACATGGCTATTGATTGCCAGGGCACACAGAGCCACGCCTGCCATCCTCACACGGCCAGSAAGGGTGCCCAGGGGGTGGCAGGAGCTGGGCAGGGCTGTGGGAAGGGGAGGAAGTGTGGTTTCCATCCCAGCCAGGCTGAGGGACAGGGTGACAGAGTCCAGGAATCCTGGGAAGGCGATAATGAGGGACCAGGGACCACAAAACATCACAAGTTTGGGCTGAAGGGATGACCACGGGCAGACAGAGGGATGGACAGGGCAGCACAGGCAGGAAGGAGAGGGATTTTGGGCACTGCCAGTTTCCATTGGGAGCAGGAAAGGAGTTGGGACACACCAGAGCACAAAGCAGAGCACCCCATGGCCTCACCCCGCAGCCATGGCCCCTTTTCCTGCCCTCAGCCCCCAGGAAAAGCCCCTGGCACCTGCCTGGATCCCAAACTGGCAGCCTGGGCAGCTGAGGGGGGTCAGGATCTGAATGGGATCACCTGGCTGGGGCCACACTGGGATTAGGGACAAAGTCTCAGGCCCAGTGGGAGAGGACTCTGAGGGGAAGGATTTTCTCTCTTACAGCCCTAAAACKCAGCCAGGATCTTTCCCTGAGCTCCACCACCCCACAGGGGATGCCCATGTCACAAAACCTGCAGGAGGGACAGGAAGGACTCTGGGGAATGGCAAAGCCACCCAGGGCAGGGAGCAGGAGGGTCATGGCCACCCCCAGGCTGAGGATGTGGTTTGTAGGGTTTACAGCAACCCCAAACCACAAAACCTTGGCTGCAGCAGAACTCGATGAGGAGAGAGCCATGACAGCAGTGTGTCCCTGTTCCTCAGGCCCAGCCTCCTCAACTCCTCCTGACACCTTCCCAAATACTTCTTTCCATTCTTGAAGGGTTTTTCTTTCCATTTCCCGACCCCATCAGCGGAATCACGCTTGGGGAATTGCTGCAAATGAGCTCTGGATGTCTCTGGCAGCCCCTTGGCCTGCTCCAGCAGCACCAGCTCAACCCCTGGCAACCATTTCTGCCCTCCAGGAAAAGCTCAATCCCATTTTCTCCCCGAGTTCTGTTTGCCAGGGGTTTTAGGGAATGAGCAAAGRGGGAAATCTCAGAGCTGCTGGAGGGTGGGGTGAGGTGGTTATCGGGGAGAAGGTGCCAGCAGGGAGTCACCCACCTCGAGGATGAAGGGCAGCACGGGGATGAAGGTCCTGGTGCTCTCAGAGAGCAGAGTGAGGGCACGGATGCAGTGCATGCGCAGGGGGTAGAAACGAGACGTTGGCACCAGCCTGGGGAGGAAAAATAACACAAAAATTAATTCTATTGGGTCAAATTTATACAGGAACTGCAGTGCATGTGCAGGGGGTAGAAACGAGACGTTGGCACCAGCCTGGGAGGAAAAATAACACAAAAATTAATTCTATTGGGTCAAATTTATACAGGAACTGCAGTGCATGTGCAGGGGGTAGAAACGAGACGTTGGCACCAGCCTGGGGAGGAAAAATAACACAAAAATTAATTCTATTGGGTCAAATTTATACAGAACTGCAGTGCGTGTGCAGGGGTAGAAACGAGACGTTGGCACCAGCCTGAGGAGGGAAAATACCACAAAAATTAATTCTATTTGGTCAAATTTATACAGAACTGCAGTGCATGTGCAGGGGGTAGAAACGAGACGTTGGCACCAGCCTGAGGAGGAAAAATAACACAAAAATTAATTCTGTTGGGTCAAATTTACACAGGAACTGCAGTGCGTGTGCAGGGGTAGAAACGAGACGTTGGCACCAGCCTGGGGAGGAAAAATAACACAAAAATTAATTTTATTTGGGCAAATTTATACAGAACTGCAGTGCATGTGCAGGGGGTAGAAACGAGGCATTGGCACCAGCCTGGGGAGGAAAAATAACACAAAAATTAATTCTGTTGGGTCAAATTTACACAGAACTGCAGTGCATGTGCAGGGGTAGAAACGAGACGTTGGCACCAGCCTGGGAGGAAAAATAACACAAAAATTAATTCTATTTGGTCAAATTTGTACAGAACTGCAGTGCATGTGCAGGGGGTAGAAACGAGACGTTGGCACCAGCCTGGGAGGAAAAATAACACAAAAATTAATTCTATTGGGCCAAATTTACACAGGAACTGCAGTGCATGTGCAGGGGGTAGAAATGAGACGTTGGCACCAGCCTGGGGAGGAAAAATAACACAAAAATTAATTTTATTTGGTAAAATTTATACAGAAATGCAGTGCATGTGCAGGGGGTAGAAACGAGATGTTGGCACCAACCTGGGGAGGAAAAATAACACAAAAATTAATTCTGTTGGGTCAAATTTACACAGTAACTGCACCTGCAGCTTTCAGTGACCCTTGAGAGGATTCCCCACTCTGCTGAAGAAATCTGCACAGCAAACTGTGCTGGTGCAACCACCCCACAGCTGGAAATCAAATTCCACATGAATTTCACATAAAATTCGCAGCTCTGCTGGGAGAAAGGGCCACCAGAGCTGTGCTGCTGGGGTTTGTCACTGATGCTGCTCAGTTATTGAACAGCTCAGCCCCTCAAAGCAGAGCAGGGAAATGTTCCTGAGCTCAGGCTCTGTGTCCTGCTGTCACCTGGACAGTGACAGAAATTCTAAGTGTGGGATGTCACCAAGGCAAGAGTGGGACATTTGTAGAGTCAGGAATCAGCATGGAGGAGGGGGAAAAGCCCTGAATTCCCTTCATCTGTATTTCTAATAATTAAAGCAATTAAAGTGGAGCCAACAGAGAAAACAGAAAGCAACCCCTAAAACTGCCCCGACCTCATTCTTGTGCCACTCTCACCCCGAAATCTCCACATTACAAATTTTGGGTTCTTTTTGAAACCACAGCTCACAGATGACAGATCCAAGCTGATAAATGAACCCCTCCCTCCCTCCCCAAAGGAGTTGCTGAGAAATCCAGCAGAGCACACATAAAAAAAAAAAAAAATGCTTGACCAGGCAGCATAAATCAGCTGCATCCCCCTCCAAATAGTGAAATAATTATCACTGGATCCATTACAGAAATAAATCTGCCTCGCACCCCTGCTCTGGCACCTCTGGAGATGACGAAAGYCATTCTCAGGAATTAATTGATCGAGGAATGAACCTGTTAAGTGTATGGATTTACTGTAAAGCGAGCCCATTAATTTCAGAGTGTGTGGCCAGGCACCAGCCTGCTCCCCATCCCGGGGCTGGGTGCAAA